ACATTTCCAGTACAAAGCATGAACTTCAATAAGATTTGGGATGGCTCACCCCACTGTCGTAAGCCAGTGCACAGATTGAAACCTGCCAAGTTGAAAGCATCCCTACAAACATGTGCTATGATTTAAAACCATGAGTTACCAACTATGGGCAGAAATCCAAGCAATACAAGCAAAAACAGGAAGTTTCTCAAGCTTCTGATGGGCCACAGCATCTGGTTGTTGAGGTGTCTTTGAGAAAAGGCCAACTACCTCCCACATGAAAATCCACTAATCCCCACTGATGAATATTTAAGACAAGGTGGTGCTTTCCACCTGGGGCTAAGGATTTTTTAATCTTGGTATTTGACTCGATAATTTTTTGTGTTTGTAGCTGCTGAACTGAACTGACTGGGACCATTTATTTAAAGGTGGGACCTTTAAATAAAATCAATTACATCACAGTGCCAGTGATAATGTTATATTATATTAAGTCTCATTTGTAATCAGTCCAAGATAATATGAATGATACAGGAGTATACTGTATTCCTGAATAAAGATGCTTAAATATCTTTATTTCCTTCATTTCCGAAACATAGCCAAGCCAAGAGTGTCATGTTTTGTCAAAAGAATTCTGTTAGGAATACAGGATGTGCTGTTTTGGAACTTAGTGGATGAACGTACTTCCTAGAAAGCCTATGTTATATTGGCAGCTATTTTCCCCAGACAAAGAATTTGTCATCTTCAGGAAATACAGCACATTTGAAAAAAATATTCTGCTGACATTTTGGAATTAGGACTAGTGATTTGTGAAATGGTACAAAATAATGCTAAAAAAGGATCCTATTAATGTGCTTTGTATCTAGTTCTTTCCATCTCCATGACAAGTTCTGGGATTTCTTTTTAAGCATCAGTTTCAGTTAAATGGGGAAAAAATACTGGAGTCTGAAAAAAAGCCCTTTCCCAAAAACGAAATAAACAAAGTACGAGCCCCTGTGGGGTAGGGGTGGGTGGGGCTGGTTTACACATTTGCCTTTGGGTCATTTATAATTTCTTGTATTTATTTATTTATTTACTTACTTACTTACTTACTTACTTTTAATTATAAGTCACCCACAGCTGGGAAGCCTATAAATTGTATCAATAAATAAGAAAAAACAATTGGGCCTTGGGTACTTCCATGGCAAAGCCTATGCGTTGCTTATGGGTAGTAACTGCTTTCAGCAAACAAGGCAATAGAACAGTCAACAATGCTCCTTTAGGGATGATTTTTTGTCTAGCTGCTAACCAGAGAATCCTAAGAAGTTCCTTCATATCAGTGTAATGGCCAGTTAATGAATTGTAACTGCTCAAATCACTGGGCCTTGTGTGAAGAAACTCCAGCATTCACAAACTCTCTACGGTGGAACTAACTAAGAATGTGCAATCTGAGGCAGATCGTCATGTTCTTAGTGGGAGCGTCTAAGGACATGAAGAAAACAGGTCTAAAATAAGGAAGACAAAAGAAGTTATTTAAATCTGAACAATGAGCAACTATCTATCAAAGAAAAGTGATTGGAAAGGGAAAATTTGAGTATTTTAAGGAAACAGTAAGAACTCAGGTCTGAATCAACCATGGGAAATATAGTAGCTCAAATGTATCTGTATGTACTAGGATCATTTGTCAGACCTCTGGTGTGATTTGAAGTTTAATAGGCTGATTTACAACTTGTACTCCATTAAAAATCCCTTTCCTAACTGTTCTGGCCATTCCCCACTCTCCAGAATAGCTCTTCTCTGCAGTAGAACAGGAACGGGCAACTTCTGCTCCAGGCTTTATATGGCATATCAAGAGCAGTTTATTCCAAAAGTGGATGAAGTGAGGGGGGGTGATGGATGGGGCTCAGGGGCCATCTTCTGCAGTCCCCATGTCATACTTTCTGCATTCCTGCAATACAGTGAAGCAATCCTCTTCAGGCAATGGAAGAGATAGAGATTAACAGCAAGATATTTTAAGATTCCGTTTGGTTTCTGGTGGCAGAATGTCCTGAGGAAACCCAGTCTCTTTTCTCTTTCTTCAAACAACAATCACCTTGGTATAATTTGGGGTGTGTTTCGTTTGGGGCATGTCAGTAGTGTGAGTTATTATTTAGGGGTGGGGGGTTGAGCTTTTTTGCATGTTGGTATAAAAAGTGCTGCAGGAAGGGTGAGATGAATAATGTAAAATATGTACCTGCTGAGAATAGGTTGGCACATGGTGGAGGAGGAGGAACTGAGAGAGGAAATTTGTGGCCTAAATAATGTTTAAACCCCTAAACAGCAGACTTACCTGGGAAAAGTACTATGACTTTTGTTGTGCTTTCCAGAAATTTTCCCTTTCTTAACGCATACTTGCAGGAGACAGCCCATGAAACTGTGTAGGAGATATTCAGTACAATCATAAACTAAATCAGGCAAGATGAGAAATAGCTTGATGCTATTCTTGTTTTGTTTTTTTTTAACTACTTTTTAAATAGCAGCTGCATGAGCTATTTGTTCTGGGACAAAAGCATAGGTTATATACCATTTGGGGGGGAATTTTACTTGGACAATATGATGCAGGAAGTGGGTTAGAGTTAAGCTGAATTCTCCCCACCCCACCTCACCTCACCCCAATTGCAATCCTGATCTGTGGAGTCCTTGGGGTTCTCTGAGCTTGGTTCTTTTCTTGCAAACGTTTCATTACCCGGCTAGGTAACATCTTCAGTGCTAAAGTGGGATGAGGTTTGCTCTCTATTTATCTGCGATGGCCTGCCTTGCCAGTGCTGAGACGTTTCTGATGTATGGCAGTGTGATCCTTTTCATGGCTTGTGTGGGTTGTGTTGTAGTAGGTT